AAGCTAAATATTTAACTTGAAACTTAAATATTTAGCTAGCTAGCTAAATATTTAACTTACAAATTAAATATTTTGTTAACAAGCTAAATATTTAACTTGAAACTTAAATATTTAGCTAGCTAGCTAAATATTTAACTTAAATATTTAGGTGGCTAGCTAAATATTTAAGTTGCAACCTAAACCTTTGGTATGCTTGTTTGTCTTTGTGTCTATGGTGTATAATGATGTGATTGTGATGCTGTAATTCTGAGTGTTTTATGTGCTGCAGAACAGGAACCTGCTGTAAAACAGCAATTATGCTGAGTCAGGCTTGATATTTAGTAATCTTTTCCTGTTRAATCAATAAATCAAATCAAATCAAATCAATACTTAAAAAGGAAAACTATGAAATGGTGTGGTGCTTTTAAAATCAGTATCTACATGACTTATAAATTTCTTCATTATTGTAAAAACTATTTAAGATTCAATACATCCAAACACACTGCAGAGAAATAAAACCCAGAGAGGCAGGAGTTTTGTCCGACACCAGTTGCTTGTTAGTCTCACTGACTTTGATCCTTCTGATGAAAATCATCTCATCATCTCTGTTAATCCCTGCTCTGCTGCCTTGTAACAGGAAGTGTTAGCTGCAGTGTTGCTCTGCAGCTCTGGTGAAGGCTTTTCTGTGTCAAGGCATTTGTTCTCAAWCAGCAGTCATCTGAGTTAAATGTGCAACACTTTGCTTTGCCCGTTCTTTAGTTTCCATGTCATTACATGTGTACCAGCTACATATAATACTGCACTACAGAGTCCTTACTTTCAATATCGAGGCGGTTCAGGATGTCTACAGCCACAGCATCAACCTCCAGCTCACAGGTGCTCTGCCTCTCAGTCTCATCCAGCAGTAAGGAGCTGCGAAACAAGAAAACTTTTAGAGAAACGCTCTTCATTGAGCCCTCAGTGCAGGATGTGTGTTAACAGGACTCACCAGGGTAAAGAGCTCTCCTCCCAGCGCACAAAGGTGCCCCCCAGAGTGCTRTCATTAAGCTTGGAGGTACCGGGGCTCCTGCAGGGGCTAACGGTGGGGCCAGAGGTTGGTCTGTCTGGCTCTGCTGCTGCTTCCTCTAACAAAGGCAATGACACAGTAAACATTTATTTTACTTTTTAATTCTAACATGGAAGAGTTTTATTTTACTAACAGGGAGCCACGAAGGTAAAATCTGAGGAGAAATGTTCATATTTTCTAATCGTGGCTGAAACATCAGCACATTAACGTGACTGACTGCAGACTTCATCAGAACATCTGAACACAACTTGTTTTAAAAAGTGACCCTGATTAAAACCTGCTTTTCTGTCAGTGTCGCAACTTTTTTCTTTCTGAAACAAAAACAGTAAAAAATGATCTAAGAGAGCAACTTTATCAGGAATTTATCCCCTTTAATCTTCATCACAGAAGCTCCGGTTTCAGATGAAGACTTTGGTAACTCTACTTTCTTCTGTGACATGTTTGGTTCTGGCGGCGCTGGAGAACCTGTCCTTTAGTCTGTGTGCTCGGCTGCTCCAGTCTCATATTTTTCCTCCTGGCAGTTCTCAGTTTCTGACACTGAAATGAATATTACTATAGTGAACTATGACCTCCTGCGCAATAAAAAAGTAAAATTTTGTTTTAAAAAAATCACAAAATCATCCAGTTTTCTTTTGTATGTTTTTTGGCACATCTCGTTTTGTAATTGTTGTGCCATTTTAAAGATTTATACATCAAAAGTTCAGCACCTTCAGGACATTCCAGTTATGACTTTTGTATTTCAGTAATTCAAACTTATTGAGGTATTTAGCCTTTATGGACAGTTTTTTCTGATTAAAAATAAATGGAGCGCCGTTAAAGTAAGAAAGTAAAGTTTTATTTATTTATCGCCTTTCACAGAAATAAATTCACAAGGTGCTGTRCATTGAGGGGCAGGTAAGACCGGTCATGCAGCACATTAAACATTCATAAAACACTTTGAAATATTTAGAAACTTTTAATGCACATTTTACCCTTTTGCTCTGCTTCTGCATTTTGGTCCTTTGTGCTAATTTCAGCTTCGTTCTGCTYGTTTTTAGTAATTTTATCTTTCTGCTCTGTGCAGCTGTTCTGCTGATTTAAACTTTTTACGCTTCTTTCTGCTGTTTTCTGAGATTAAAGTTTTTTTTTTTTTGCTATTTCAGCAAAATTCAACATTTGTGATAATTTTAGCTTCTTACTGCTTAATTCAGCAAACGCTTCTTTGTACTAGATTCAGCTTTTACTACTACTTTTTAGCCATTTTAACTTTTTTTTAACAAATATGCAGAGTTGTAAAGTAACTAAGTACAAATACTTTGTTACTGTACTTAAGCAGAAATTTTGGTTATCTGTACTTTACTTGAGTAATTATTTTCAGCGTTCTTTTTACTTTTACTCATTACATTTTTACACAATTATCTGTACTTTCTACTCACTACATTTTTTAAAAAGGTAAGAAGTAGAAAGTCGTTACTCCTGATTGTTATTACTTAAAAAATCCTCTCCTAACAAAAACTGTGTCTCCTA